CGAGGGCCGACGCGCTCGCCCCCCCTGCCGTTTCGCCTCCCCACTGTGCCTGACCCGGCTGTCGCCTGCCGGGCTGCTACACGGTGCAAACCCTGCCCGCGGTCCCCAGTGTCCCAGCTCCACTCCCAGCCCTGCAGAAAACCTGGCAGAGCATCAAAAATGACAGGAAACCTTCAATTTGCTCCAATTTGGACGAGCAGCTCCCAGTTACACTGGGGGAAGGTCTGGAGAAAGCTGGCTCCATCCGTGCAGCCCTGCAACCTGGGCTGCCCCTGCCCGGTGCCAAGCACTGCTCTGGGAAATCAAAACACTTCCCCGTGGATGCACAGTGCTGCTGGAAAAGCAGATATTGGAGCTGGGTTTTTCCCTTGCAGTTCCCATGTGCTGAAAGCTGGTGGGACACACAGGGCTGCTCCCAGCAGTGTTTCGGACCCGCCGACCCAGCATCACCTGCCTCCAAGCTCCAGTGCAGGATTTTCTCCACGAGGATGAGGTAGTTGCCGGCGTCTCGGCTCACCAGCTCCTGCAGGCTCCAGCAGTTCAGGCACAGCCCGGCTGCAGGAGAGACAGAGCCACCGTCACTCACAGCCCCGTTCAAGAAGGTGCCAAGGAGGGACGAACAATGTGAAGGGGTCAGGGCGAAGATGTTCGCCGCCTACATCACAGCAGAAGAAAAAACCTCACACCCTCCTTCTGGACAGATCTAATCTCAAACTCATCTCTGTTGCATCACTTCGTACCCAAGTGCCATCTCGCTCGCGCAGCTGGGCTGGATGCCTCTGCCCCGGGGAGGCTGGGTCACCAACACGCCCACGCTGCCAGCTGCCCACTGCAGAGGCCAAGGGCACGTGCGTGGCATGGTGGATGCCCACCTTCAGTCCCCCTGAGCACACAAAATCCACTGGTGTGACCCCCCAGCCCTGCTGCCCCCAGGCTCCATCACCCCAGATGCACTATCCCAACCCTCAAACCCTGCAAAATTCAGCTCCCCGTCGGGCGCACATCCAAGCCCCTCCAGCTTCATCCCATCTGAGGGAAGATGCTGCATCCCCACCACCACCTTCCCCACGCCCTGGAGACGCACCATCACATCAGCATCGTGGCAGGCAGAGCTCGAATCAGCATCGTTGTTAAGCCTGCCCAGTGTTTATTCTATCTCTTAGCACCTTCAAAGTTTCATTAAATGTATTAAAACCCAACCAGAAGATTAGCCAGACTGAGGGAGGAGAACTGCCTTGCAAAAGGATGGAGGGTCCTTCACCCCAGCTGACTGAAACCCCCTTGACCTCCACCCCCAGAGATCTGCCGCTCGCTGCTGGGACCCGACCGGTGACAACGGCCCAAGGTGTTTCCCGAAGCCGTCGCTTTTCTTGGCTGTCAGGGCCACCTCCCGGATGGTCTTGGAGGAAATGATCTGTGCAAAGGCTGCCGGGCGCCTCCATCCATCCCGGCCCCGCATCCCAGGGGAGGAGGCAGTGCTCTGGATCTGCAGAGCAAGAAGGGAGCAGCACCTCCTCCTCCTCCTCTTCCTCCTCCCTCCCAGGGACCCGGGCACTGCACACAGCCCCATGGAGGAAAATTATGGGGAAATTTCAAGCAAACAGCCTAACAAATATCCAAGAAGGGTCTGTGTTTGCATCTCCCCCATCGCCATGGATTCTGTCACCAGGAGTGGACGCAGTGCAGACACCACACACAGCTCGGTCACCACCCACGGCACAGTTCAGGGCGTGCTGGCACCAGGGCTCTTCCAAGCTCAGTCCAAAAGCAAAAATTAAGAGAAACAGCGTCTCTCGCTGCAGGGAACGGGGGCTAACGATCAGAGAGGAAAAATAAATATAAATCCAGCCGCTGTTCGCTCACGCAGTCTATTAAGTGGCACAGAAACATAACAAACACCAACCCATGTGTGTTGGCTGTCACGTTGGAGCTAACAAGGAAGAAACAACGCTGTGAGCTGGCAAGGGGACAGCAGCCTCCACCACGAATCTACAGGTTACACTGTCTGACCCTCAAACATCATTCCCAGCTGCAGAGGGTACAAATTCATCAAACATACAGACACGTAAATGCTATAAAAGCACCTTTACACACCTTCTAGGTGTTAAACAAGATGAATTTAAACCAGAGGGGAGGTCTGCCACAGCCCAGCTAGATGAGGGACAAGCAGAACTAGAGCTAAGGTTGCTAAAACAGCCTTCCCTTGTGCCCCTCCATGGACAGGCATTTGCTTACCAGGACACACACTATTTGTGTGGCTTTATGCCTAGCTTGTAGTTGAATTAACAGAGCAAGAACCTTTCCCCACAGAAAAGTCCCCCTGCTGCCATGCAACTTTTTACTTTCTATGAATTAACATTTTCCAGCAGAGAAAGATCCTGCTGGAAAGCTTCCAAGGAGCTCAGATGCACTTGCTGTTAATTAGAGTTGCCTTTTTTAATTCGCCTCTGGTGCTCCTGGCGTTTTGCTGGGTTTGCTGACACCGGAGCGCACCCTTAGATCGTGACATCTTGTCAGCGAGGGCACAGCCACAGCGACCCGGTAATTCCGCGATGCTCCCGGTTTCCTCTGAGCCAGCGCAATGGCACAAAGCCACGGCTCTGCCTTGGATGACTCCGGCAGATCCCTCAAATAAATCAACATTGTCCCAGAGTGCGGCATCCTCCAGGGAAAGCCCCAGCACCTGTGAGAGAGCCAAGCAAGCAACAAGCCCAGCAGAACTGGTCAGAGATGCCAGGGGCTTTGCTGACCTCGGCAAGAAGCAGTTGGACTGACGTGGTGCCTTGAAACGACCCGTCCCCCTTTGGCCGGGAGGATTATTTCACCCAAGAGAGCCCGGCTGCGGCTGCCCAGGGCGAAGCCCGGCCGTGCGGAGCGGGATCCGGGAGAGCATCGGCGCTGAGCTCCGTCGGGTGCGTCACCAGACGGGCAGAACGCCGCTCGCTTCCTGCGTGAGCGTAA